GGCGCGCGGCGGTGACGGCAAAGGCGCGACTCTGGCGCGCGTCTATGACGTCACGGGGCGGGGGTCTGCGTCCCAGTCTCTCATAGGTGGAGCGCCGTGAGGGGGCGGGGCGCGTCCCGGCGTGCAGCGCCGACGCGGAGGCGCGGGCCGTGACGTTAGGGCTGCGCCGGAAGGCGGCGCGTGAGTCGGGGCATCTCCCGCGTGGGGCGGCGGCATGGAGCGCGTCCGCGGCCCCCGGAGCGCGCGCCGGGCGCTGGGCCGCCTGCTGGAGGCGGTGCTGGCGAGCCGCGCGGAGGCCAACGCCGTGTTCGACATCCTGGCGGTGCTGCAGGTGAGGCGGGCGGCCAGGCGGGCGGCGATCGCGGGGTCCGAGGCCGAAAGGCGGGCCCCGCGGGGGAGTCCGGGCTCGGACGGGGAGAGACGCTGCAAGGCGGGGCCCAGGGTTTCACCGGGGGGTCTTCTCTCCTCCCGCGGGGCTCCCGGACCGGAGGGTCCGGTGAGAGGCTCGGCAGAGGTGGGACGGAGAGTCCCGCCGGGGTCAAGGTTGCGGTCCGATGGGGCGGGCGTCCCAGTGGGGACGTGCGTGGGGCCCCCGTGTCCCGCGGGGCTCCCTGAGGCCGGCCTCTCCCCGCAGTCGGAGGACCCGGAGGAGATCCAGGATGCGGTGCGCGCCTGCAGCCGCCTGTTCGGAGCCTTGCTGGAGCGGGGGGAGCTGTTCGTGGGCCAGCTGCCCCCGGAGGAGACCGTCATGGCAGGTGAATGTCCTGGGGGCCCAGGCCTCGTCCCTGGCGAGGTTGGAGGGAGACGTGGTGAGCCCCCCAAAACCTCTTCACAGGGCTTACCCTTGGGGAAGGCGATGCTCGCTCTCTCTCTCTCTCTCTCTCTCTCTCTCTCTCTCTGGCTGGGGGCCATGCTGGCCTATGGCTTCTACTCGTGTGCCTGGCTGGGCTGACCACCCTCGTCCACGGCAGGGTCCCAGGGGGCCACGCGGAAGTACAAGGTGTGGATGCGGCACCGTTACCAGAGCTGCTGCAACCGCCTGGCCGAGCTCCTGGCCCATCCCTCCTTCCAGGTCAAGGTGAGTCTTGGGGACCCCGAACTTCTCTTCTCGCCCTGAGTGTCCCCTGCACCCCAACCACGAGCCTCTCCACACACACAGGCTGGGCGCTTGTCTTCCTGCACTTGTTCCTTTTTGTTGGCTGGTTGGGTGGGTGGCTCTGTCCTCTCGTGGACAGTCAGGCTGAAGTTCCGGGGGAGCTCTGTGGGCCGGTCCACAGGAGGGGGACGTGTTGCTGGGGCACCGCGGCCACTGCCCCCCTCTCCCCAGGAGCTGGCCCTCAGTACCCTCATGAAGTTCGTGCAGCTGGAAGGGGCGCACCCCCTGGAGAAGCCCAAGTGGGAGGGAAGTTACCTGTTTCCCCGCCAGCTCTTCAAGGTGAGGGGCGCCTGGGGGTCCCGGCGGACCTCTGGCCGGAGCCGCGACGGGAGGCTGTTCGGTGTGATGCTCTGCCCCATCCGGCCTCGGGGAGGAGGGGGTAGGCTGCCGCTCGGGGGGGCTCCTGGGGCTCTTGGTTGTGGGGCTGTGCTGTGTGGGCTCGGCCCGGGTTGGCCATCCTGGGCTGGAGAAGCACTCACCTGCCCTTCCCCGGCCTGGCCAGGCAGTGGTGGACGGCCTGCTGTCCCTGGAGGAGGACTGCTCGCTGCTCCTCTCCCAGTTCTGCCAGTACCTGGAGCATGATGACGTGCGCTACCACGCGATGCAGGCGGCCGCAGACACCGTGGCCAGGGTCGCCAACGCACACCCCGAGGTGAGCTAGCGGGAGCCCCACAGCTGGGGGGGGAGGGGCGGGCGGGCATGCGGAGCCCAGGTGCTCAGGCCCGGCCTCCGGCAGGTGCCCCTCACCTTCTGGAACAACGTGTTCACGCTGCTGTCCGCCGTGAGCCTGCCCCGCCAGGAGAGCGACATCGCTAACTTCTACGTGCAGCACGCGGGTGAGCGTCCCAGGTGGGCCTGCAGGCGGGCAGGCGGGGCACCAGGGCCCTGACCCTCCCAGCCTCACGGGCCGTCGCCTCCCTGCCCTCTCCCTCGCAGAGCTGTCGGACAAGTGGAAGGTCACTCATCTGAAGGTGAGACGCTCCGGAGGGAGGGCGGGGGTCTCCCTGGGAACAGGCCCGTCTTGGGGTGCGGCCTCAGGCAGCAGGTGTGGGACTTGGGGAGAAGGCAGCCGCCTCTTTCCTGGCTTGGACAGCCCCTGGGTCACTCAGAGGACCCCAGGGGCGAGGAGGCCCCAGGCCGCCTGGAGCATCACGTGTCCGTGCTGGGGGGCGTGGGGGGCAGGGCGGGCGGGGGAGGACCCGGGCGGGGGAGGACCCAGCTGGGCAGCAGCACATGCAGCCTGAAACCCTTCCCCCACACACAGGAGCATAGGAAAGCCTTCCAGCTGATGTGGCTCGGCTTCCTCAAGCACAAGGTAGGGCCTTGGGGGGAGCAGGCTCCAGTCTGGGCCTGGCCTGTGCGGGGTGTGGCAGACAGAGCCCTGACCCTCTCCCCCTGCCCCCCAGCTGCCCCTCAGCCTCTACAAGAAGGTGCTGGTGATCATGCATGAGTCCATCCTGCCCCACCTGGCCCAGCCCAGCCTCATGATTGACTTCCTCACCCGCGCCTACGACATCGGTGAGCCGGGCGCCCAGAGGGGCTGCGACAGGGGCCGACCAGGCCGGGTGGGTGCTGGGGGTCCCTTTCCTCCCTTGTGAGACGGAGCGGGGAGGGCGGGCCTGTGGGCAGCTGGCTCCAGGAGCCTGGAATGTAGGTGCAGCTCCATGGCTTTGTGTCTGTCTGCAGGGGGCGCCATCAGCCTCCTCGCCTTGAATGGACTTTTTATCCTGATTCATGAGCACAACCTGTGAGTGTCCATCTCGGGGGAGTGCAGGCCTCTCTTCTGCCCCCAACCCCACCCCACCCACCCCCAGCTCTGACCAGGGTCAGGCAGCTTCAGGAGCCCCTGGGGGAGGGTTGGGAGGGGGCTGAGCCCCTGGGGCTGTGGTTCCCTGGGGCCCTGACCTGTCTGCTTGCTTCCTGCTTTTACCCCCACGTGCTGCCCTCACTCACCCGCTGCTCCCCCACGTGCCTCATTCCCTCGTTCGCTCCCACACCCACAGGGAGTACCCCGATTTCTACCGCAAGCTCTACGGGCCTCCTGGACCCGTCCGTCTTCCACGTCAAGTACCGGGCGCGCTTCTTCCATCTGGCCGACCTCTTCCTGTCGTCCTCGTGAGCGTCAGGGAGGCACAGGGGCCCCCGGGGTTGCAGACGGGCCGGGAGGGGCTGGGTGTGCAGGGTGCGAGGTCTCACGCCCGCTTTTCCTTCCAGCCCATCTGCCCGCCCTACCTGGGGGCTGCCTTCGCCAAGCGCCTGGCCCGCCTGGCCCTGACGGCACCGCCCGAGGGCCCTGCTCATGGCCCTGCCTTTCATCTGCAAACCTGCTGCGCCGACAACCCGGCCTGGCCGAGTCCTCGGGCACCGGCCGCGGGGCCCTGGTGAAGTGGCCAACGGGCTGGGGCCCAACCGGCGGCCGGTGCGGGGCAGGGGCAGGGGAGCACAGGTCTGGGTCTGTCTTGTCCCTAGAGCTGGACGCCGACCCCTACGACCCTGACGAGGAGGACCCAGCCCAGAGCCGAGCCCTGGAGAGCTCCCTGTGGGAGCTGCAGGTGAGGCCCGGCCGCCCGGTCCCATCCGGCCACCCCGGCTGCCCACCTGCCCCCACACCCACATGTCCCTGCTCCCTCCACCCCGCCCTCCCTGTCGCCCTGGTTACCCGGGGGCACCCCGACCTCTGTCTGGAGCCGCCACTCTGTCCCCAATGTGGGGTGCTGGGAGGCCAGCCAGCCACGGGGGTGACGGCCCGTGTGCCCTCCAGGCGCTCCAGCGGCATTACCACCCCGAGGTGTCCAAGGCCGCCAGCGTCATCAACCAGGCGCTGTCTGTGCCCGAGGCCAGCATCGCGCCCCTCCTGGAGCTCACCGCCTTCGAGGTGAGGGCCGGGCTGTGGGGAGGGGGGCGGGCTCGGAACTCCCGAGTGAGAGCGTCCGTCTGCCTATCCTCGCAGATCTTCGAGCGAGACCTGAAGAAGAAGGGGCCCGAGGCAGTGCCGCTGGAGTTCATCCCCGCGCAGGGCCTGCTGGGTCGGCGTGAGGACCTCTGCGCCCAGCACTTCACACTCAGCTGACCCTGGGCCCCCCTCCCCCCGACAAGTGGTTTTGTAGGAGCGACTCGTGGGCTGTGGGCAGGCGGGCAGGGGCCTGGCTCCCCCTGGGGCTGTGCCCACAGGGCTGCAGTCCACAGAGCCCCGCCCAGCAGGGGACAGCAAGGGGGTGCTTCCATGTGCCAGGGGTGCGTCCCCAGAGCTGACGGGGGCCCTGACTCAGGCTCCTCCCCGGTGGCCCCACCACGGAGCAGTCCCGGCGCCTGGCCCTCCCCGTCCCCCGTCCCTCCAGTGCAGCAACAGTGTCTTCCGGCTGCTGCCAGTCTGGGCGGCCCCCTCCCTGTGGCTCATCAACTTCCTGTCGAGTAGCCAGCCCCTGTCAGACACCCTTTCCGGGCTTGACCCCAACGACACAAACATCTCCCTCCTCACCAGCCAGCCCAGGGGCGGGGCCCTGACCCACAGACCCACCTCCATCACCTCCGGGCGGGAGCTCAGGGCTTGAGGTCGACCTAGGAACCAGGAGGTCACAGACCGATTCCCGGTCGGGGCACAGGCCCGGGTTAGGGGCTCGATCCCCAGTGGGGGGGCCTGCAGGAGGCAGCTGATCCATGATTCTCTCTCATCATTGATGTTTCTCTCTTCCTCTCCTTTCTTCTCTGAAACCAATAAAAACATTTTAAAGTAAAATGGAGTTTGCTTCCCGTGGCTGAGGCGCTGGCCTGGCGTGTGCACCAAGCTTCGCCCTCCCTCCCGGGGTCCTGCTCTGCTCAGTTAGGGACCCCCCAGGGGCCAGGGACACGAGACCTTGCTGTGCATCCCCTGCTCCTGTGACATTGGGTCCAGAATTTTAGGAGAAGCATCACAGAGGCCAGTCTTCACTGGTCACCTACTGTGGGGGGAGGGTCCCCTCCTTCCCTCCCTCCATCCGTCTCCTGCCGGGAGGTGAATGGGGCCCCGGGCAGTTGAGTCCCAGCTACATAGGAATGACAAGGATGCATCCCGGGTAAGGAGCTGCCACTCGACGCCCCAGGGCTTGATTGTCACTTAGCAAATCCACTGCAGACAAATGTCAGGAGGCAGGTCCTGCCCCTCAGCCGTGAGGACAGCTTGTCCCCCTGCAGGGGGCTGGTGAGGGCCACAGCCGGCCCCTTCCAGCAGGCGGGGAACTGTGCCCTCGTGACAGCTGTCGTGTCCACAGGGCGCTGTTCCCAGGTCCCCGCTGATCAGGAGGCCGGGCCTCTGACGGTGCAGCCGTGGGACAGCGGGAGCCTGGGGGCTCGTGAGAGTCCTGACTCCCAGGTCCCTGTGTCGAGGCCCCGGCTGCAGGGGCCGCGGTCAGTCGGGGGAGGCCTCGGGGTGCAGGGGCTGCGGTCAGTCGGGGGAGGCCTTGTGGTGCAGGGGCCGCGGTCAGTCGGGGGGAGGCCTCGGGCTGCAGGGGGCCGCGGTTCAGTCGGGGGAGGCCTCGGGCTGCAGGGTGCCGCGGTCAGTTCGGGGGAGGCCTTCGGGCTGCAGGGGCCCGAGGTCAGTCGGGGGAGCCCTCCGGGGTGCAAGAGCCGAAGTCCAGTCGGGAGGAGACCTCGGGGTGCAGGGGTCGCGGTCAGTCGGTCGAGGCCTCCGGGCTGCACGGCCGAGGTCAGTCGGGGGAGGCCTTGGGGTGCAGGGGCCGAGGTCAGTCGGGGGAGGCCTCGGGCTGCAGGGTCCGAGGTCAGTCGGGGGAGGCCTCGGGCTGCAGGGGCCGCGGTCAGTCGGGGGAGGCCTCGGGGTGCAGGGCGCCTCCGTCCTGGGAGATGCTGCTGGGTGGGTCTCGGGCCGACTCCCAGGATAGAGCTTCCTGAGCCGTTCCGCAGGCCCATGCTTGAGCTTAGCCGGGGGTCAGCTTTCACGTCTGAATCGCTGGCGCCCGGGAGCGTGTGGCCTCTGCTCTCAGGCTGAACGAAGTTGCAGCTGGGCTGGGACACGGGCCTCACCGGGCTCCTGGGGTCACAGGTCAGAGAACCCCGCTTGGCAATGGGAGGAGAACAGCCTCCCCAGCTCTCGCCTAGGTTGGCCCTGTGTCTGAGGCCTGGAGTCACTGCTCCGGGAGGGGGGGGGGGCCGCCTTCCTGTCCAGCAGGTGGGGTTCTGCCAGAGCTCGGCCGCCATCCGAGAGGGCCAGGGTCGACCTGCCTTGGCCAGCGCAGGACAGTCATGCTGGGCCTGGAGGAGAAAGAGGGGCTGGAGCCCGGCTGGTGGGGCTCAGTGGCTGAGCGTTGACCTATGAACCAGGAGGTCACGGTTAGAATCCCGGTTAAGGGCACAGGCCCGGGTTGCAGGCTCCATCCCCAGTGGGGGGCGTGCAGGAGGCAGCCGACCCATGATTCTCCTTCATCATTGATGTTTCTATCTCTCTCTCCCTCTCCCTTCCTCTCTGAGCTCAATTGGG